AAAAAAAAAAAAAAAAAGAAAATCCTGAAGCCTTAAGCTGAGTACACTGCGGCTTCAACAGGAACAAAGGGAATAATTAATTATCTCTTAATATTTTGAAATTATCTTTTTCTTTAAATATCCTAATCATATATATCACATAAACATATTTCAAGGATGATATATGAGCATTATGATGTGTTTAAATAAAGTTGATAATCTTTTTAAATTAGTCAGCAGTCCCAAATGGGATTAGACAAAGTCTTAAGCTAAGGCTGAAAAAGGCTTTTAGGCAGACAACACTTACCTCTCTGTGTCAAGTGCCTCCTCATTTTTCATCCATTTAATGGTTGGAGTAGGAAGTCCTGAAGCAACACATGGCAACACTACATCCTGACCAATGACTCTGACTAAGGGAGAAGGCTGTTTCAAAAACACCAAGTCTGATGTCACCTCAGTATCTAAAAGAAAAAAAAAAGCCAAAACAAAACAACAAATTAACAAAAGACAATAATTAAATAAAGGACAAAACAAGCCGGGCATGGTGGCTCACAGCTGTAATCCCATCACTTTGGGAGACTGAGGAGGGAGGACTGCTTGAGCCCAGGAGTTTGAGACTAGGGTAGGCAATATAGCAAGACCCCATCATTACCCCCACCCACACACACACACAGAAAAGACAGAGCAATTTACCGCTTTAATCTTGAGGAACGACTAGTTCTTATTCAGTCTGTGTGGCTTTATATGACAAAATATTTTAAGCAAAAATAATATAAAGATTTCCATTCAAATTAGCAAACACTTCTCAAACAAATTCTATGTGCAAAGCATTGTGCTAGCCTCTTTAGGGGTCTTAAGGACATATAACGTACCGCTCCTGCCTTCAGGGTATGTACTTGTCAATGAATTGAGGGATATTTGACATGAATCCCCTTCACGTTGAAAGATAAGATAAAAGCCATATGAGTGGTACAAACAGTGGAGACTGAGTAAGCTCAGGACCCTTGACATCTTCCTCCTTGGTATCCTTATCCATACTCACAGGGATAAGATGTTTCCTTTCTTTCCTGTATCTGTATTATTTCTGAAAAGCTTTCAGAGTTTCATCTCTTTAACTTGCTCACTTAGTCTGTCAATCCCTTGATTTTGTAATTGAGCAACCATCTAGCTACTACTATATTTGTATATTTCTTATTCAGACATTAGAATTAATGTGTGTTCACTTTATAGAGTTGTCCTCTTGTGGAAACATGGAAAGGCCACACTCTTGTGGGCAGAAGATAGAGTTCTCTCCTCAATAGGGTAATATTAACTTAACATTGAGTTTTGACAAAAAAGGTCTCAGGCCGAAGAGATGTGACTCTTGTGCTCACATGCTTTGGAAAAGATGTTCTACAGCCACGATAACAACCTCCAGGACTAGCCTTAAACTTGTCTAACCTATCAGTGACAGTCCTGTGGCCATGGTAACAAGGAAACATTGCCTAATCGATTACTGACAACTCACAAGGGTGAACGTGCCTTTGAAAGCCAAACAAGCTCAGGCTTTGAAAGTCAGCCAACTAATGGTACAGTCATTTGCTTTTAAGGTTGACGTTAACTTGCTCCCACCTCCGTAATCAACCACAAAATATGTTTCTATGACTGACATTAATCCACCTCCGTCTCTTAACCAGTACAACCCAAAACAATGTCTTCTGAAAAATTCTATAAGGAGATCAGGACTTAGCTTTGCTCAAGAAAACTATGTTTGACGAGCACAACTCTCCCTTACTTAAGTAAGCAAAACATTCCACGTTATGTTTTTGTTTCAGATGTTGAGTAGTGATCTCATCTTTTGACACTACAAACCTTGTTTTCTTGGATCCCATTTTGAGGATTTGCTTAAATGCTACCCTAGGTGTTGAGAAGTTCTTACCTCTGTCATGTAAAAGCAAGTGAGCAAGCAGGCTGAACGATATTGGTATATGGCAATAGTTCTTTTTTAAAATTCACCTTGAATTACTTAGGTATATTTTAATCAAATTTTGGTAAGAATCAATTAAACAAATTCATAGCAAATATTACTGGCTTCTATATGCCAGAAAGTGTTTTTGGCAGCAGACAAAATTCCCTGCTATGGTTGAGTTTACGTACTAACGAGGGAGAGAGACAAGTAAGATAGAATATGTCAGATGGTGATACGTTCTGAAGTAAAATGAAGGTAGAAGGAGAAAACACTGGGGGTGGAAATCAAAGATTGTTGTTTTAAACACAGTGTTCAAGAAAGGCTTCACTGATAAAGTGATATTGGAGCAGAGAGGTAAGAGAGTGACCCAGGCAGGTATCTGAGGAAAGAGGATTCCAGGTAGAGAAAATGACCAAAAGCATATCTGGAGTATCGCAGAAACATAAAGTGATCACAATCTTCGAGTGAGGGAGAGAAGAGTAGGAGATGTGACAGGTGAGAGAAAGCAAGAAAGTGGTATTAAGATTATAAATCTTTACAGGCCAGAACTTTAACTCTGAATGACACAGAAAACCATTAGGGAGTTTTGAGCAAAGGTGTGACAAGATCTAGTAATATACACCTTACACTGGCCACTGTGGCTCACACCTGTAAGCCCAGCACTTTGGGAGGCCAAGGTGGGAGAATCACTTGAGCCCAGGAGTTCAAGGCCAACTTGGGCAATACGGCAAAATCCCATCTCTACAAAAAATACAAAAAAATTAGCTGGATGTGGTGGTGTGAACTATTAGCCCCAGCTACTCGGGAGGCTGAGGTAGGAGGAACACTTGAGCCCAGGAGGTCAAGGCTGCAGTGAACCAGGATCACATCACTGCACTCTAGCCCGGGTTACAGGGCAAGACCCTGTCTCAAGACACACACACGCACACACGCGCACACACACACTTTAAAAGATACTGTCCTTGCTGAGAATATACTGAGACAGAATTGACGAGGGATAACGACAAAAAAAAAGAACCTGGATTTTTAAAAAGATCAGTTGAAGGGCTATTAGGAACACCCTCAAGAGTTGCAGCTCACAGTCCTGCTTTGCAAACCCATCCATAGGTTAAAAATGAGCCTATTTAACAGACATAGAACTCTTCCCAAATAATGTAGGGATGGTTCAATTATATTCAGAAACTCAAATTTGAGATGAGAAATATGGAGGGGGCACCTAGCAGTAAGAACAGAAGGTAAACAGTCATGAAACACCAAAAGGCTAGAGGGGCTACGATGAGCTACAAGTGGGAGGAAGTTATGAGTAAGCAGAAGTTATACAGTGAGAAAAGATATACAGAATTGATTATGAGGAATGCCAGAAGGGGCAGGAACTGAGAAGACACACAAAAAGAAAGACTCAAATAGGAGCTGAGTTTACACTAAAATGGGGAGTATAAAGATCCAAGGACTCTTGCCTGCCATTGCCTCTAGAGCCACCATGTTAACACTTACCACCCAACCCATCCCTTATATGAACTAGCCTGGATGGGTATCTGATTTGTATAAGTGAAAAGATCTAACAATAAAAGTATCCTATTGTTGGGGAGAAGGCTTGACAAAAGATACAGAGCTAAATTTTTAATAATGCATTCCCTAAAGAGTGGATCTTCTGGCACATTTTCTTCTTTTCACTCCTATAAGAAACTGAGACTCCTTATGCTGACAATAAAATGTCATACCACATATTAACATTGGTTTTTTTTTTTTGTTTTTTTTTTTTTTGAGATGGAGTCTTGCTCTATTACCCAGGTTGTAGTGCAGTGGCACAATCTCGGCTCACTGTACCCTCCACCTTCCGGGTTCAAGCAATTTTCCTGCGTCAGCCTCCAGAGTAGCTGGGGTTTCAGGCACCCGCCACCACGCCTGGCTAATTTTTGTATTTTTAGTAAAGACAGGGTTTTGCTATGTTGGCCAGGCTGGACCTCAGGTGATCCACCACTTCAACCTCCCAAAGTGCTGGGATTACAGGCATGAGCCACTGTGCCCGGCCAATATTCATTATTTTTAAAAATTCTAACAGAACAATGTTTACCCATTCATAAACATAAAACCATCAGTCCTGATAATGAGTTAATACCTGGAAGAACCTTCAATTCAACTTCATCACTATACTTTGGTGGCCCACCACTTTCCACTACGCAGCGATAAAGCCCGCCATCTCCTTCAGTTGCATTGCTGATAACCAGCATTCCACTTGGAAGTTTGATAACTCTATCATCCAGAAGAAGGGGGTGTCTGTTCTGTTCCCACCTCACAAACGGGACCAAATCTGCATTAACTTCACAATTCAGAATTGCGCTGTTCCCAGCATAAACTGAGGAAGGTTCTGGTTGGCTGGTAAATCTTGGAAGACCTGGACAATAAAGGAAAAGAAGAAAAAAAATTTAATTAAATATTACTTTAAAATTTTGTCTTGGGGGCCAGGAGCAAGTCAGCCCACATGGCTACAACATATGGCAGAACCAGGGTTGAGAAAAAGGTCCACAGAAATTAGCTAAATACAGGAATACTGGGAAAATAAGTAAATGCATTAAGGATAACTGGAATCAGATTCCTCACAGTTGGAGAAGCAAGGTACAAACATTGAAAAGGAGATGGGTAGAATAAGTCCTATGGTACTGGTCTAGAATGGAGGTATCAGTGTAAACGTCATGGTTTTATATAATTATAGAAATAAAAATATATATGGGTGCCTATGTATGTGTGAAATATTTATACATTTTGTCATTACATATTCATTGCTATACCTATATACATATATACACCTATATACTTCCTAGCCCTGTCCACAGAGAAGGTCCAGCATCGATATCACTTCAGTAGCAATGGTACATATGGTGTCTCTACCTTTTCTAAATAACATTCTTGGAGAAATGCCCAATTCTAAGAGTGCAGATGGAGAGAAAGTACAAGATGAACCTGAGACATCTTACAACATAAAGAAAGAAAAGTATCCAAAGAACAATGAAGACATATCAAAAGGGCATAGAAGTCAGACTGAAGGGAGCTTCCTCTGGTTAAATCTGGGATAACGGTATTAACATGCACTATAACCCACTGAATAAAACAAGAATCTGTGGGTTCATGCAAATGTAAACAAGTAAGTGGAAGAGAAGGAAAAGCTCTACCATACAGAAATGATGGAACTAGAAAAATCACCACTTGATAGTAATAACTGATTCAGGCATGAATCTCAATGGATACTAAAACTAGTAAACAAAAATGTGATGAGGAACAGTACATTTACAGAGTATCAAAGTATCTCTTCCCAAAATACTCATTACTAATTAACAAAAGTACAAAGCTTTACAATGGAGAAACACCGCACAGACCATCTTAGGTAGTAAAAGTTAACATCACCAGCAACAGAACAAAATAGCACATGCTTCTTGGCATGATGCACAGAGAACACAGCATTACTTCTGTGGTATTTCTCCCAAAACTGCGAAATCTGAATCTATTCATGGGAGAAATCGAACAAACCCAAAATGAGGCAAGGAAAAACCAAGTTATGTCAAAAGAGTTTAGAGACACAACTACTAAGTGAAATATGTCATCTTGGGCCAGAAAGAAGAGTATGTGTGGGAGGAGGACGGGGGGTACTCTGCTTTTGGTTTTTACTATAAAGAACATTATTGAGATAATCAGTGAAATCTAAATTAAACGGTAGTGTTGTATTACAGTTAATTTCCTAATTTTGATGGATATCTGTGGTTATCTAGGAGAATGTCCTTGTTTCAAAGAACTACACACGTGGGTATTTAGGTGGCAGTTACAGGAAAACCTGTCTGCAATTTACTCTTAATTGCTCAGAAAAAATATGTATTTGGATGTATGCATATTTGGGGGATAAGGCAGATATGATAAGATGTTACCAATCAGGTAATCTAGGTGAAGCTATATGAGATTTCTTGGTTCTATTCTTGTACCTACTCCCTAAGTTTGAAATGATCTCAAAATAAAATGTGAACCAAAAATGTCATCATAAATATAGATGCCACAGGATGCAGTAGCTAGGAGCATCAGTTTTCAAGTCACATATCTGAATCTGAATCCCCACACCACCACTTCATGGGTGTATGAGGCTTGCAAGTTATTTAACCACTCCCTAAGACTCAGTTTCTTCACAAGTAAAATGAGAATAACAGGCCTCACAGGATTGTTAAAAGAAAAAAAAGTACTTAAAATAAATAATTTATATATAGTATATTGCATAAACACTTAACTAGCTATTATAATTAATATCTAAAAAGTGAATGCTATGCTCAGAATGAAACAAAATGTTTCTTCAAGGAAGAACAAACAAATCATGAGACATGATTACAGGTTTTCTAGTTTTATGACGGTGAATTAGTCCAAACATAAATCACACAGGTTTTACAGCCCTGCAATAAGCTTTTTCTTTTTCCTTTTTTTTTTTTTTCATTTCAAGGGGATTTTTGCAGGAAAAAAAGTAAAGATAAAATTATCCAAAAAATCTGCTTTTTTTCCTTGAGCTCCCATGATTTGATCAAAAATCTACTTTTAAGAAACCAGAATATCAGAAGAAAGGAATTAACAAAGAGAAACACAGAAACTAATAAAGTTGGGGAAAGGAGGAAATCTTAATCAATAAAACCAAAATATGGTTCTATTTTAATTTATTTTTTTGTTGTTGTTGTTTGAGACAGAGTCTCACTCTGTCGCCCATGCTGGAGTACAGTGGCACAATCTTGGCTCGCTGCAACCTTTGCTTCCAGGGTTGAAACGATTCTCCTGCCTCAGCCTCCCAAGTAGCTGGGGTTACAGGCGTGCACTAGCATACTGGCTAATGTGTGTATTTTTAATAGAGATGGGGTTTCACCATGTTGGCCAGGCTGGTCTCAAACTCCTGACCTCAGGTGATTCGCCCATCTCGGCCTCCTATAGTGCTGGGATTACAGGCGTGAGCCACTGCGCCCAGCTCAGTTGTATTTTTAAGAGTCAAAAAATTCTTCCTCCTGAGGTCTCATGAAAATTAGTAATTTTTAAAATGTAAGCTCACAAAAACATATGGAGAATTGGCAGACAAGAGATTTCAAAAAATTTCTGAGTAGGGAAAGCAGATGGAGGACTAGTAACTGATATATCAAGGCAGGGAACGCTGCAGCTTCCTGCGCTCCCAAGAAGGAAGCTAGTTGTCCTGCTGCCTCTGGAGAACTACAGGACAAAAAGGAGAGTGGGAGTAAGACCTGGAGTTGACAAGAGGATATTAACAATATCTGTATATAGAGCACCCTATTACCCCACCTCTGGGCACAAAATACCCACAGCCAGCATACTGCTCAGGCAAAAAAACAGAAATTTTGGTTGTGGAGAAATGAGACAGCTCAGGAAAAAAGACCTCTCATACTTAATTCTATGAGGTACCTATTTACTGATCTTTTAAAAACTTCCCTTCTTGCTTGACTTGGCTACGATCAGTACTACTGCTTGCAACCAAAAAACTCTAAGAGTCTTTTAGAATGGCAATTTGGCAGAATTTTAAGTTTTATTGAGATATAATTTATATACCATAAAGTTCACTATCTAAAGTACATAATTTAATATTTTTTAGTATATAAATAAAGTTGGGTAATCATCACCATAATCTAGTTTCAGAACCTTTTCATCATTCCAGAAAGAAATCTTGTACTCACTTGCAGTCATTCCGCATAACCCCATACCTACCCCACAATGCCTAGGAGTGGAATTGCTGGGTCATATGGTAACACCATGGTTAACATTTTGAGGAACTGACAAACTAGTTCCTTTTAATTGCGCACACACACAAGTGTATCTTATGATCCAGGAATCCCAATTCCAGTAATCTATTTTATAGAAATAAAGATTTGCAGAAGGCAGTTCACTATAGTATTGCCTATAATATCCAACAATTTAATCCATTTAACTGTTCATCAACAAAGAAATCTTCAAATAAATCTAGACAATGTATACTATGCAACTATTTAAAAGAACTTTTATTTAATCACTTAGCTTGGATACTATTTACTCCTGATACCTAGGGCCAAGAGTGGGTTAAATAACTTTCCTACAGAACCCTGTATGCAGTCACCGCAGAATGTATCACCTTTTGTGGTGCTGCTTGCTTAGATACTGGGTCAAAAAATGCTTCCTGAAGGTATCAAAGCTAAGAGAAAGAATGGACAAACTTAGCAGAGGAGAAGAAAGTGAGGAAAAGGTGGAGGATAAAATTAACAGGCAGTGGGGATGCCATGAGCAAAGGGTGGAAGGCAGAGAATAAATGAAAGGAAAAAAACACTCAGTACTGCCAGTGCTTATAACTGTGGTGAGGGTGATGGTGGAGGTAGGGGACAGGAGTGGGGACAGAGGCAGGGTGAAATGTTAAGAAATAAGGTTGGAGAAGTGGAGGACAGCTCATAAAAGGAATCAACAGGCCTGTTATTTGAGAGTTTAGATGTTACCTTGATGGTGTTACTGGAGGATCACTGAAGGATGAGAAAGAGTACTCTAGCCAGGTTGGAGACTGGACTGGAGGAGGGGAAGAGTAAGGTAGCAGGCAGATGCTTACAAGGCTGTGCTGAGGGAACACTGGAAGTTGCCTCGGGAAGGAGAAAGTGGATTAAGTACAGAGAAATTAAGAAGCAGAATTCACTGGGGGGACAGCTGAGAGGAAGGAGCCCATGAATAAAGCCCAGATAAGAGACATTTAAGAACTTAAATTATAAACACTGACCTCATTATGACATTGTAAAGGCAGTCATTATACTAATTTATTTAAGAAAGATGTTGGAGAAAGCCTGGCAAATAGATTATTTAAGGGAGAGAGAAGAAAGAAAAGAAAAGAAAAGGGAAATGAAAAGAGAAAGAAAAGAAAAGGAAGAAAAATATAAAGAGAAAAGAAGGAAGAAAGGAAAGAAGGGAGGGTAGAAGGGAGTGAGGGAGAGAGAGAAGGAAAGAAAAGGGAAATTTTCTATCCTCAGTCTATGACTACGGAATAATTACAGAAACTTTTTGCCACACCCAAATTCAACTTTGAGTATTTGTCCCCAAAGAGAAAAAAAAAAAAAAAACAGCCATTGTGCTCTGAAAGTATGAGCAAATATACTCTGGAGTGAGCCTGAGATGGGAAACCATAATCCTGGAATAGGAATGAGATGGGAGACTACTATCTCTAAGGTCCTGTCTCACACGTGGGCATCTCACCAAGGTGAGAGTAAATACAGGACTTAACGATAACATTTTTGTATAACATGACCCTTCAGAAAAACTATTTCCTCTGGTACTCAAGTAAAGAAACACTATCTCAGGAATGCTAGTATCTACTATAAAACAGACATGACTTACTTAGAAACCACATCTTATTCTTCTAGATCCCTAATTTTTCTTACGTTTTCCACCATTCTTCAAATAAGGAAACTCTGAAAAGGAGGGAAAGTTCCTCTCTTTATAACTTTCTGCTCTCCACCTTAATATACACTGTCTAGATTTTAAAACAATTAATCCAATTGAATGTCATTTCCTTGGTTAAGGCATCAAGGAACCAGGATTCTGACTTTACTTCAAGTTTTACAAAACTATACTAAATGGTTATGCTGGGTAAGATAGAAGTTGGCCATCAAAGTGATTTAATTTTCCTATACCACTTCCTCTGCCACTTCCACGTTTAAAAGGAGAAAAGAACTGCTCAGTACTTCTGATAGCAATATTAAGCCATCGGACAAGTGGAAACACGCTACAGTTTATTCTCTATGGCACTGAGCAAACCCTATAGCAAGGTCCCATACACAGAGCATATGCACAGTTGATATCTGTTAAATGAGTACATTTGTTGCTACTAATTAAATGAAAACTCCAAGAGAATAGTGCTTTTATCAAGATGTATGTGTTACAAATATTTGAAAATGAAAAAAAAAAAAAAAAAAAAAATCACTTAAACCTTACCTGCTACTGTGAGCTTGGCTGTTCTACTGACAATAGTTCCAAGACTCTCAACAGTGGCCACACACTGATAATAACCTTCATCAGGTTTATTGTGTTTGGAATGCACCACGTTGCTGATAAATAAAGATCCATCTGGGAGAAGCTGGCGTCGATCATCTGATGCTAAGTTTAAAAAAGTTCCATCTTTTTTCCATTCAATTTTTGGAGAAGGCTCAGAATATGCTGAACAGTTTAATATAACAGAAGAGCCTCTAACTGAGAGTGTATCCACCGGCTCCACCAGAAAATAAAATGGAGTGAACGTTCGAATGCTGGCTCCTACAAAAATAAAGAAAAAGAACAAAGTTAGGCAAACCTTTCTTCTACTATTTCTGTCAGAAAATATATTACTAACGAGTCCAAAAATTATTAACTGTTGCTCTTTGGATATGACACATAAATATAGTAATCTCACTATAAATGTCTAATAAATAAGATTTACTTTCAAATAGGAAACCAAACTTTGACCAATTTAGAAGAACATTAGGGGGGGAAAAAAAAAACCTTCTACCTGAGATAAACAAGCCTTGTTAAACGACATGAGTATCTAATAAAAGTTTTATTTCAAACCCTAGAATTAGATTTATAAATACTTTAAGTTACTGCATTCAAAGTGAAATTCTCTATTGAACATAAAGGAGGCAGAAAATTAAAATGATTCTTCATTAAGAGGTATCTTTTTATGTTTATTAGTTATTTGTATTTCCTTCATAAATTTACTATACACACACATTGTCCATTTTTCTAGTGAATGTATTCATCTGACTGAATTAAAAAGCAATCTGCTATCATATTTTACAAATATTCTTTTTTCCATTGACTTTATAATATTTGTTATAAGAATAAATTTTAAGCTACACAAAACTAAAAGTTACACTTAGGTCTTTTTTATCCCAAGATTATAAAAAATTTCAGCCTTGCTTTGTTCCATTATTTTGTGATTTTCTACATTTAATCTTCATCTAGAATTCATTTTAGTGTAAAGAGCACGGGAGAAATTAGCTTAATTTTTCTAAGTCCCTGTCAGTTCTTTGAACATGGGAAGAACAAAATTTAAAGAAAAATATTTGCTATAAACCTTATATTCTCAGCCTGTTGGAAAGCTTTCCAACTTAAAGCTTTATCACTTTTCTTCAAGAAAACTTCTGACCAATTCCCTTGTAAATAACTCCAGTTGTCATCAGCTTTCTTCATGTGAAAAATCAGAGAAACCTAATCCAGCAAATGAAACTAAGACTGTTTTTCGAATATATCTACACCTCTTTATAATTTATTTACAGTATGAATTTAAGGATGACACAAATTATATATTATATAATGAACAAATAGCTCTAAAGAAATACAAAACACACTGGCAGAGGGAAGGAAATCACATTCAATTGTTTTAAAAGTTTTCCAACACTTCAATGATAAACAAATTCTAATTCTAATCAGACTAATTACCCTTTCCCAAACACTACAGGCAGGTATTAGAAAAGAGATGGCTGGGCGCAGTGGCTCACACCTATAATCCCAGCACTTTGGGAGGCCAAGGTGGGTAGATCATGAGGTCAGGAGTTCGAGAACAGCCTGGCCAACATGGTGAAACACCACCTCAACTAAAAATACAAAAATTAGCTGGGCATGGAGGCACGTGCCTGTAGTCCCAGTTAGTCGGGAGGCTGAGACAGGAGAATCACTTGAACGCAGGAGGTGGAGGTTGAGTGAGCCGAGATCACGCCACTGCACTGCAGCCTGGCAACAGCGAGATTCCGTCTCGGGAAAAAAAAAAAAAAAAAAAAAAAAAGAGTTTCAGGTCTCCATGCCCACTTAATGACTATAAAATTTATTTTATTTTTCAAGTCTTAAAATTCCTGAAAATAAGCTTAGAAATTTTTCAAAAGTAACCTGCAATTAGTTTCTTATTGCTACCAAAATGTTTATGTTGCATTAGTTTACTGGAATCATAGTAGAATAAACATATAAACAAAAAGGAAGTATAAAAAGATAGCTAAACTAAGAGAAATTACTTTTATATCTTTACTTAGTAACTATTAAATCTCTATTATACCCCCCAAACTTAACTCAGAAACTTAAAAGATAAATGTGTTAGATTGGTGGTTAAAATACGCAAATTAAAAATCTGAAATATTGTATTACTGATAATAAAATACATTTTATTTCAAAATTACAACACAATTTTTGCCATTTGAAAAAATACCCCCCAAATTACAATTTAAATGTTTTGCAGTTTAACACTGCCTTTTTTTCTTTTTCATTTTTAAAATTGAGCCAGGTTGAACACAAAAAAAGTATATGCGTTTGAAAAATTAAGAGCGAATTACACTCATAGGAAAGCTTATAAATGCCTTTCAAAATCAAGGCACTTCAAAATGTTTACAAAAAATATTCACTCTAAATTATTGAGAACACAGTGTTACTTAAATATTTCTGTATATCATTCTGTATTTTGTTCCCTCAGTAGGAGGGCAGTGACCTAAGATATCCTCTCTTCACTTAAAAACCCTCAAAGGCTTGCTGCTGCCTTTTGCAAAGAAAACTGAAGAAACTCCTTTAGTCGACCGCCCCGTCAGTCACCACCTGATCCAGCTTCTGCCTATCTCCAGCCCCACTGCACTGTTCTCTCAGTCAGCTCCCCACAGCTCCTGCCTCTTCACACAAGCTATTCCCACCACCACTCCTTTTCAGTCCGTTCCCAGTCTTCCCTCAAGCTCAGCTTAAATACCATTTGCTCAGAAATGCTGTCTGTCCCAGGTGCCCAGGCAATGTTAGTTTTGCCTGTTCTAAGCAAGCATGGTGTATGCGCTACCTACAGAGCACTCCAAAGGTTCTTAATCTTTGAATATTTGTAATAACTTGTTAAAGTAGAGAGGTCCCCAAACTCGCTTGGCTCCTGGTACCCTTATTTTCTCTGTAATTTCTTTTAAGAATTCCATAGGTCAAAAGAAACAGCTAACCATTCTATCTTTTTTTAACAGGTTCAAACAAATGAGTATCTATGTCCCAACAAATTAGCACCTTTTTGAAAAAATAATACATGCAAACTGAAATATATATATGTATTTATATATACACATATATATTTTTATATATATTTCATTTTAAAATAACCACAATTAGTTACTATGGGATGTTTGCACCTATAGGGCCCCGCACAACTTCTAAAACTTAGATGCTGTGCAACTAAATACTGCCACCCACATTTCCTGTCCCACACTGATTTTTGCATAGTACTTGCTTTTTAAAACAGTAACCACCAGAAGTTCAACTTCGCAAAGATATCACAGCTACAAAATGAAGATGGCACAATCAGATGTTGAAACTGTGAACTACCTTGAGCTAGAAGTTCACATGGTGTCCAACAGATGTGGCCATGTTTCCCTACAAGTTTGAAATGACCCTGGGAGTTCTCTGAAGTGCCTTTGGGTATCTCAGGGTATAGTTCAGGAACTGCAGGCTTATGATCTATCTTTCTACAGTTTTCATTTGTTATATTCCCAGTACCCACCTAGCATGGTGGACCAATCTTTAGATTATACAACCAGATAACTTCTAAAAACTTCCAATGGTTAAAGTATTAATGAGAGACTGCAGGTTCCATTCCAATCATGGCCACTTATTATCATTCCCTTCTATGCTAAGACTTAATAACAAAATAGTTTTTGTAAATTCTGATGAGTGTTTACAAAACTATATGGAAGAGCAAAAAAAGCCAATAAGAGCCAAAGTAATTCTGCAAAACAAAGTAAAGGGACTCCACTCGTTAGTTACCAGTATGTATAAAGCTACAGTAATTAAACCACTGTGGCTCTGGAGCAGGGGATAAAGACACATAACAGGCTATAAAGCCCCCAAACAGAGCTATATATATTTGGAAACTTAGTATTTAGTAGAGATGACATTTTAAATCGATTGAGGAAAAGGATGAACTAACTACTCAATAAATGTTACTAGGACAACTGATTATCCATATGGGAAAAAAATGAGATGCCTACTCACACCCTGTAATAATAGTAAAAGCACTTACGTACCAGATAATGTTCTAAGTATTTTCTACATATTAACCACTCATATAAGCTTGTCTTACGAAACAGGTACAAGAATCAGCCCCATTTTAGAGAGGAAAACAAAAAACACAAAAATGTTAAGGACCTTGTAAAAGGTCACACAGGTAGTAAATCACAGAACCATGGTCTGTGACCTTATACTACATTATTGTTAGCTATTTGTTCATTATCTGTGATCTGATATTACATTATACTACAATGCCACTCAATACAGACGTAAAAATGTATTCAAGGCCTATAAAAATGCAAGTGATAAAAAACTTAGAAGAAATTTTAGGAAAATACAAGGATAATCCTGGAGTTAGGCAACCTTTTAAATCAAACTAGGAAACTCAAAGCTAGAAGAGGCATGTTTTACTTTACTGCATTAAAAAAACAAACAAACAAACAAACAAAAAAACCCAAAAAACTCTTTATGGTAAAATACCGTAACAAAGCAAAAGACAAACAATGGATTGGGGGGAAAACTGTGCCACATATAACAAACAAAGAATTGAAAAGGTTAAACTGCTCAATATAAAAATGGGTGAAGCTGTGTTCCAGTAAAACTTTATTTATACAAATAGGTGGCTGGATGGATTTGATCCATTTATTGCAGTTTGCTGACCCTTGCCTTAGAATATTATCCAGCAAAAAAATGAGCGGGCTACATTTCTGTGATGTAGAATGAGTTCTGTGAAAAATGAATAATGCAGATGAGTGTAAATTATATAATTTCATATGTATATGATTATATGGGCATTGAGAAAGGCAGGAAAAATGTACACCAGGTTGTTACTACTGGTTACTGGGAGGGGAAAGATAGGAGAAAGGGAGTGGAAGATAGATAAAATAGTTCCATGATAAAAATCATCTTGTATGTATAACCCATTTACAAATACTACACTGGCTGGGCGCTGTGGCTCACCCCTGTAATCTCAGCACTTTGGGGGGCCAAGGCGGGTGGACTGCTTGAGCCCAGGAGTTCAAGATCAGCCTGGGCATCTCCACCAAAAAACAAAAAAAAACAAAACAAAAATTAGCCAGGAGTGGTGACTTTTACCAGTAGTCCCAGCTACTCAGGAGGCTGAGGTAGGACAATCACTGGAACACGGGAGGCAGAGGACACAGGGGGCCAAGATTACAGCACTACACTCCAGTCTGGGTGACTGAGGGAGACCTAGTCTGGGTGACTGAGAGAAATCTTGTCTCAAAATAAATAAATAAATAAAT